TTTAAGAATTAAATATAATACTAATATATTTAATAAATATTAATAATTTTAGATATTTTGATTAAGTACTTAAAAAAATGCCAAAATTTTAAGAAAGTTTATGCACGACAAAATTTCAAGTTTCCTTTTCACTTGCCGATAGAAAGTTCCCTTTGTTGATACATTAATTTAAAAAAAAAATTAATATTTTTATAAATAATAAAAGAATTTTATTATAATTTTTATAATCTTTTAATTTAATATTAACTGAAATTATCATGGATTGGGCCTATGAATTTTTTCCACTTTCGGGCCATAAACCCATTATCTGAGACCAAGCCCAACCCAGCTAGCTCAACAGTGAGCAAAGTTAATTAAAACAACACATCTCCTTCCTGAATTTAACAACACGAAATTTAACACAACACAGCGCCACTCCCTCCGGCTCTTGCCGTAGCAGACATTCGAGAAACACTCCCTCGCCGGCCAGGACATCTCTGTTAGGTATTTCATCCCTTCTCTGCTCTGTTTCTCGCTTTCATTCTTCGCCGGCCACGACACCTCCTAGTTATGCGTTTTGCTTATGAAATCGGGAAATCTGGGACTAGAAACAGGCAAAAAGTGTTAGGTTATGTGGTGAATCAATGAAGTAAAATATTACTGCTATGATCCCTTTGCTTGTCAATTAATTTGTTCCAAGAGGCTATTTGGAAATTCTATGTTCTTAGCTTTTCTGTGTCTTCTTATTTTGTTTAAGTTGCATACTTGTTTTCCTAAATTGTAAAAATAAGCTTCGTTCAGCATTTGGTGGATCTAGTTCATATACTTTTAAACAATAAGCTTCGTTCAGCATTTGAAGGGGACTCTTCCCTTGGCAGAGCAATAAACTCTGATTCTTATTTTCTTTGTTACTTCTTGTTTTTACTGTTACGGGGGACCTATCAACTTGTGTGTTTGAATTTTGTTACTCATGCTACTTACACTTGTGGTACTAAGTTGGACCTTGTGTTTGACGACCTTGATTGTCATTGTATTTGTTGGAGTGGTTGGTTGCATTTTGTTGTATTTTTTAAGTAAAGGACGGGAAGAAAATGATGTTTTATTTGCTCAAATTACTAAATAAAACATCATTTACTAAATAACAGAGTGTGTATAGTGAGGAAGCTTAAGAACTTTTCTGATTTGAAAAATAGAGAAACTGATATGCCCAAGCTCAATAGAGAAGATCCAGTACAAGCTATTTCCACTAATGCTAGGCCCAAGAGAGTTACCAACAAACCCAAGAAGTGGTCAGATTTTATCTTTTATAAATATAAAGGAAAAATCAAATGATTCAGCAGCTTCCGGAAACAATTTGTTACAATTCTGTTATTGCTTTACTGTTTGTTGTGGGTTATGCGTGAGCATTGTGAGGTTTCTATGTAATGTTGTATGTTTGACACAGGCAATGAGAATTCAGTCATTTTCTTCCCTATTATTCTCTTTTAGGAGACCCTCTGTCCTCAAATTCAGAGTCTGTTAAAATCACATCAGAAATAATTACATGAATCTTGATATAGATTTTTACATGTTGATTTTACTATATTTTTATCGACTTACTATGTAGAAATTAAAAGATTGTCATGAAGTTTGTGTATAAGACTATGAATGTGGATGTAGATTTTGAAACTCATCATCCTGTTGTAGTTGTGGGGTGTGGGGAATTAGATTGCTAAGAAATAAAATTACAATAAATAATACTACTATGTATCTTATTTTTAAGTTTCTGGAGAGAGCTTTTGGAAAAAGAAAAATAATCTTTACCAGATACGTGCAATTAGTTATTGAGTAATGATTCTCCCATCATTTTAATTACAAAATTTTACATCTGGATTTACACTTTTTAGTCCGTTGATTTGTTAAACATTTAATTGTGATTATTTTAGTGTAAATGATTGCAAGAGAGTAGCATTAATCTGACACTCTTACCTATTATATCGTAGTAGGAATTACCAAATGAAGGTTCTTCCACATGTGCATTAGGAAGCTCTATATCCATCTGAGTCAAAACTTTGGTAAACTGTGGCACTTCCTTCTTGTGACAGAAAATTTGCCAGATAATTATTTTGACAATATTGTGTCCTTGTAGCATCATGCTGCAAAATATTATATTGTGTTCCGTTGTTTGAGTTCTTTAGTTGATAATATTATTACAAAAATAAGAAAACTGTTAAATAAATATTATAAAAGATTATAAAAGTTAACAACAGTTTTGCTATGTACGTACTTATTGTCTTTGTACTTATTGATAATTGAGAAATTAAAATTCTAATTATATATGTACTTCATAGTTCGTCACAGTAATGGATTTGCAACATATGTATCTTTATGTCTCACTCATAAAGTTTTTTCAAAGTAGAATTACCTAAAGAAGAAAGGCCTATAATTGAGAATATATAAGATAGTTTTTATAATCAAAGAATTAGGGATAATTTAATTTAATGAATTTCAAATTAAATAAAGTTGATAGTGAAATGACATTACATTAGAGAATAATTAAAAATGATTTTGGAACTTATTCAATTTTATTCACATTATTATATTATATATTGAATTGTGTTAGTCGTTTTCTGAATTCTAACTACTCTTGATCACTTGGTCACAACTTTAATATTATGTTAAGAATCAACTATCCTAAAAGCTTATGCAATCAGGGGCTGAGGAATTTTTTTTATATCTCTAAACAGATTCATCACCAATATTTGGTATTCATTTACATTCATGGTTTATAGCAATATCTAACAAAACATATTTAAGTTATTTAAATAATTATTCATGTTATTTTTAATCATATTTACAAGATTAGTAAAATAATGCCTTTGTTTGAATAACAGGAAGATTTTCTCAATAAATTTTCTCAAGCTATGTCTGAGGCTGCATCATCTGTTGATGAATCACATCCTATGGACCCAAGTTTGGAGGATACAATTAGGTCTAAGTGTTGGTCTGATGCAGTTGGTAGCATGACTACTAAGAGGCAACTGTATGGAGCTGGAGACCTTACTTGTGATTTAAAAGATACGTAGAACAGTCACATCAATATTAAAAGGAAAGTATCTTGTAGCAGTTCACATGACACAGAAGACATTGTTCAATTGAAACAATGACTTGCAAAACATGATGTGATTATTCGTCAGTTGCAACAATTTCAATCAATTGTCTTGCAATTCTTACCCGCAGAAGCACAAACTGCCATTCAAAATATTTGTCAACAACAAAATACCAACCTAGATCAACAAAATGGGGAACAACATCAAAACCAACAACAAGAAGATGACCAAGGAAAAAATCAAGAAGACTCTCCTAATTATGAAGATTATTAGTTAGCATTTGAAAAATATTAATCTATTTGAATTAACTATATATGATGTTTGAATTATGAATTGTTTAACATATGTTAGTGTTGGATTATTATTATGATATAAATACTACTATTATCTTTTAAATTTATTTTGATGAAGCTTCTATCAATCTATATATATTGTTAAACAGGTGAAAATAATGTGAATTTGTTATATTAATAAATTTATTCAAAAATAAAATTCAAATATTTTTAATGAATTTTTTTATTGAAAATTAATTTTTTTAATTTATGACAGATATATCCGACAGAAGTTTCTGTCGAAAGTAATTGTCAGAAATTTCTGGCAGAAATATTCGTCAGAAATTTCTGATGAAAATTTTTGTCGAAAATATTCGTAAAAAATTTTTGATGAAAATTTTTGTTAGAAATTTCTGATGGAAATATCTGTCAGAAATTTCTGATAGAAATTTTTGATAGAACAAAGTATTTTCGACTGATTTTTTTTCCAATGCCCCTTTTTCCCATAGATTTAAATTCGTCGAAAATACTTTATTTCGTTGGAAATTTACTTGTTTCCATCAGAAATTTTTGTCGAAAATTAGCATTTTTCTTGTAGTGGAAGTTGTTTGCTTATGAAAGTTGAAACTTTGTTGTTCTTGATGATCTCCTTGAAAATTTGATGTATGCATGTTGTGGTTCTTGAAGCTTTTGTGTTGCATGTGGTTGGTGGTGTTGCATTTGAGTTGTAGCATGGATTAGGTCTCCTTGGGTTGCATGTTTATGAAGGATTTGAGTGAAAATCGAAGGTGAAACCCATGGATTTTTAGGAATTCTGAGACTCACAGTCATGGCTGTGGATTCACAGCCATGGCCGTGGGGGGGGGGAATGTGGTGGCTGAGACTTGCAGTCATGGCCGTAAATTCACAGCCATGGCCGTGGGAGGGAAATATGTGGTGGCAGAGACTTGTAGTCATGGTTGTGGATTAGAGGGCCATGGCTTTGGGAGAAAATGGAGTGGCAAAAACTTGCAGCCATGGCCGTGGAAAGGAAATTGAGCAGATAGAAATTCAACGCTAAAGCGCTGGATTGAGCGTTGCAGAGGTGAGGGTAGATGACCGAATTTGGTCTTGAGGTCTGCCTAAAAGTTGTAGCCTTGGATGTTAACTTTTTAATGGCGCTGGAATCACCCAAAAAGAAGGTCTAGAGCTCCAGTTATGACCTTTTTAGTGAGCAAAGGTCAAGTTGTCAACATTAAGGAGAATGGTTGCGGTTTTTACATTTTTTAACAAGGTAGATGATGGAATTACGACTTGGTGTCTTCATGAGAATTGTAGAAAATCTTCTTATTTTTCATATGAGATAAGGATGAGAATGATTGGAGTAGTAGAACTCCCTTTGGGTTGTTTTAGGTGAAGGTTGTCAGTGTAGGAATAAGTAATTTTGATAAATTGCATGTGATATAGGTTGTGTGATAGGTGAAATTGGTGAACATGAATAGAATACTTGTGTCTATTGCATGTTGTGTGTTATAGAATGATGATAATGAGCATTGATATGCTATCTTTGTGTGCTTGAAATGATAATAAGCATTGGAATGCTATCCTTGTGTACTTGAAATGGTGATGAGCATTGATGTGCTTTATGTGATTGATATGCTATGTTGAATTAATTGTGGAGCATTGATATGCTATTATTGTATGAATTGTTATGCATTGGTATGCTGTTATTGGTTGAGATGTTAATCATTGGTATTTTGTACATGATGGATGTTGTTGATCTCCACTTTTTAATTGACTATTGTATCTCTTAAATATGAAGAGGAAGACAACACATTCTCTCTAAATAATCGCCCACAATTGTTTATTTTATTATCTATTTTATTTTATCCTTAATTTGAAAAAAAATTAAGAGACATTTTTTCCATTGGTGTATGTGTGTGTGTGTGTATATATATATATATATA